GGCGTTTACTTATATGTTCAATCTTCATCAATGCTAAAAACTTTTCACCGAATTATAAGGCTACCATTACATCTAATACGTCCAGGTCCTGAAAACAACAAGAACAACAGCAACGACAACGACAACAAATACAAACCTCGCATCATCTCAACAAGGGCAGCCCGTAAGAACATATTTATAGATAAATCTTAGCAGTCTCAAACTTCTGCACTTCCCACTTTTGACATCAGCACAGCCTATGACATTTATAAGCAGCATTACAATGTCTACAAGCTGAAAATCCACGCGTATAACTTGCATGCAGTATACCGGACACAATGTCATAATTCAAGCAAGGACCGGGGTCGTCGAAAATCCAACGGTCATAGTGTATTACACAATCTCATCAATCAAAACCGCTCGTGCCATCGTCAACAATTTCGACACCGTTCGTGTCACATACCGCATTTATTTATTTCATCATCGTTAGTGTCACATACCGTACTCCGAGACAAGGATTTTAAGAATTCCATCAACATTATGGCCCTCAATGTCTCCTGTGCCTTCCATATTAGTTTCCTTGTGACCACTCTTGATAAGGAATCGCTCAGTGCTCATTCCATCAAACACCGACATAGATCAATGTTACAAAATTAAATTTTTGATGAGTAAAATCCCTCAAGAATCATAAATGCGGCTTTACGGTAGAATAACGATACGAAGAAACTCTTCACCTGGTAAAGGCGAAGCGACAACGATGAGCTATAGCAATAGTTTGTAAATCCATTGCACTTCTATCTAATTGTGCGTGCCCAGAAATAATCTAGTCTTTCAACTTTGAACAGGAATATCTCAGCTTATGGCAAACTTTATCTATCCTATTAAAAGCGATTAGCATCTAAAAATCTTTTCAAACCAGGAAAAGCCTCCTTATTCTCAAATTGAGAAAATTCTGAGATCCCGCGTACCGCAGACCTCTCGGAGTTGATAAATCCTTGAGAGAAGCGCCATGTATTTAACTTCATCGAGCATCGTTAAAGGTGAATTAATGCATATCTGGCCTATACAGTGACTCGAGGTGCTTTACTGATGTAACCAGTCAGTGCTGCTATTCTTGAAGACAAGTCTGGTACCAATTTGCCAGTTGGATGGAAAGATTGCTGAGCCTGAGGTGCAGGATCGAACCTATGTGTGTTGCAAGGCACCGCCCGTAAGCACTGCACTGCATGCGTCACACATAAAGGTTCGAGATTTATCAAAAGTATTGAATACATAAACGACCTTAAAGGATGGGTATAAAACGAAAACTACCGAAAGTACTAGCAAAACGCACAGAGAAATCGAGCAGTGGAAAGAGAAGCACAACAGAAGTGGCGGAGAAATTTGCTTGGTAATGCGTAAAGGTCGGTGTGAGTGGAGCTAACTTCACAGTGAGCGCGCCGAAATATCAGCTGTCAACAATGCGTCGCTCCCTATATGATAAAGTTTATGTCCCATTTATTAAATCAATGAGATGATTTCTATTCCAATTTTTGATGACTTATGATAGCAAGACTACGACGGTTTCTACCACGTGAAGATACTCTCATTGTAATTTTCTTTTTTTAGAAGCTATTGAAAAACAGACTTCCTATGGAAAGTTAGGTTGACAGTTTGAAAAGCGATGCAAATTTCTTGCCTCTTGCGTCAAAAGTTTACGTATCAGCCAGTAATAAATAAAGGTATGAAGCGATTGGCGTTGATCTACAACCTACGGTGGCGCTATGCATTCAACACAATTCATATAATCATAGAGATAAGTGAATGCTAATTTGGCTTGTACAATGGCTTGCTGTGGCCTAATGATGTATTAAGTCAATGTTTTTACATTCCCAAACTAATTTATTGATATAGAATCGAAGCACATGCACAGCAGTGGTTAGAGGCTTGCACACATGGTCATTGGATCGATCCCGCGCCCCGGAGTTATCAACCCTTCCACCAAACTTGTCTGGGGAGAGACAGCAGCGCTGATTTGATACATCGGTACGCGACTGCAACGCTCCTCATCGTACAGGCCGTGTTGAGATGAACACAAACACAGATGTTCGGAACTACTAGTTCGTGATAGTCTGAGAGGCCTAAATCTTGGCCATGTTCATTAACTACTTCTTATAATCTACCTGCCTCCACTTCTTTTTTATCTAATTAGTGTTTCAACGAACTGAGACCCTTTCCGAGCTAGTTGCTTTCATTTCCATTTAAGTGCTTCCTTGTGCAAGCTAAAGAATTTCTCTGCTCCTCCATCAATTCCCAACCGCACGACTCCATTATCCAACCGATACGAGGGCATGTAAAACATTGGCGAATGGTGTCACTTTGCTGCAACTTTTCTTTAACGGAGAATATGAAGGGACAATGGAAATGTATTATCGTACTGCAGTACTACAGCAGTCGCCAAGAGTCTCATGTTTAAATCTAGTTGGATGTATTTCTTCGTTAACTCATGCAGACAGACAGCATCCGTTTCGACAATACCATAGACCCTCAAAAGTCGATAAGGACCAGGACAGGAGAAATTGACAATTTCAACACTTCTCCCTGATGGTCTTCGGATTTGGTACGGGTTCAGTTACAAAAGCCGCTCTAGGTTGTCTTAGGTCTTTATCACAGACAGCAATCAGCAGCCATTGCTGATCAGAGGGAACACTTCCCAAATAGTCTGCTGGAAATTTACGTACCCTGCAAAAATGGAAGACTGTCAAACTGCGCTCGGCTCTTACCAAAACTGTGTCGACATTGAACGCCATATCTGTCATTGTCCTTATCACGTCTTAATTTGACATGTGGTAGAAATCTCTAACTAAGGTTTTATATATGATTGTTTCACATCAGATGTCTGCCATTTGTCGCGACAAAGTCGATTTGAATGTGCAAGAGTAGAAGTTTATTTCAACGAACATTAATTTCCGGTAGAGCAAAAAATCGAAGAGAATCTTGCAAAAGTAGGAAAAAAGTATAAGTACGGATGGGGAATTTAATAAACTCTTAATTAAACCATCGTTTCTTTTTGTCAGGGATAAGTTGAAACATTTGGGAGGCTCGTTGAGGCAAATGAGTGATCCAAATCGATGTCCCAGCTTGAGGACGTGTCCGAGCACCTGCAAAATAACCCGCAGTAAAACTTATGACAATGAAAACTGAGAGTTTTTTTTCTTTAAAGAATTTAAAGAATAGGTAAAGGACAATTACAAAAACATTTTGCTTAAACTTGGCGCATATTTTGAAGAAATTTTAGATGGCGTGAAACCTTTCATAACAATCACAGAACGACAAGGACAAGGATGCTGAGATATGCGCAAAACTCGGAGCTCAACTTCGGCTTCGAACCAGCGGAAAAGATTTGCAGGATCTTACATGCTAACCGCCACACCATCCGAAACTTTGCTTTGCCTTTCTTTCAGCCGTTTTTTCACCATTATTGCTATTAGAAAGTATTTCATACCTTGCCCTGCTATTGGAAGAAGAAAAAGTAATAAATAAAGACTGAAACATTGTGACATCGAATCACAGAGCCAATCATCAGTGGAAGTTTTAAACATCCACTAAGCTAAGGTTAAGGCCTTATCAAGTTAAACTTCCATTTTTTCTCCAAGCTTCAGGATTAACACCAAATTCTTGCGTTCTTGATGGATCCACTCGACGTTAAACGTTTAGGAGGAGTAAACTGCTTTAAATTCCAATTCAGGCTGCGCGCCACAATGCAAACTGCAGCATATCACAGAACCAATTTGATGCAAGGATTCTTCACAAAAAAATTTTTGTTACTTCGATAACGAGTAGAAGGCTGTCGAAAAATGTCAAAAATGGAGTCATTCGGGAACTCTGGTCAAAGCAGGAAGCCAGCACTCATCTGTCCATATTTTCGACGTTCATGCATGCAAAATCTTCAAAAGCATCAAGATACCTTCCTGAGTTATTAAGCTACCCACAGGTTGATTGAAAGAAAGCTTTCTTCTGCTAACGTTTTGAAGCCCTCGTCTTCTTCATAGCCGAACTGATCTGAGTCAATAATTCATAGATGGTCGTCCCCGCCAAGTTGGTGTTCATTGTCGCATAGAGTCGAATCCACTGGAGGGACCACCGCTCGAAAGGAAACAAATGTACGAATTTTTTTCCAACGAGTGAAAATTATTAGGTATGTGTAAGGAAAGAACTAATGTAAAACCATTTGGAAGTTCAAGGGCAACTTTATCCTTCCTGCAGTCTGCTCGGACAGCTCATAATGGTAACATATTTGATGGCAAATTGATTCTCCATAAGAAGATGGTTGGGTAAGCTGCTTGATGGTAAAGGAAACGATACATATAAAAATCTCTTAAAACTAGCAGTACTTGAAAGTTTCAACCTTGTTGTACTTCCTTTGCACCTAATTTTTATCTATTTTTCGTTTTCGCCTCCGAAATTCTATTACAGATGGACAGTAGTGAGAAACAAACCAGGTATGTCATTGTAATCTGGTCATATCACCATAAGGAATGACCAGTAGTTCCCATTCCCATGTCCAGTGTCAAGCTTATGAACTCAAGAATCCATAGGCTATCAAATCCCAATTTTATTTATGAAGTCACAGAAGATCTACTTCCGTGATAGCCAAAAACGAGCTTTGGGGAAGATTTTGAGATTCAAAAAATAGCGAATCTTCATATCTGTGCGGTTCATGATGTTCAACATATTAATGACAATGTTAGTTTTTCGACTACAGATTTTCATTAAAAACTTTGGTCCCCTCAAAGGTGCACATAATTCTTATAAAACATCCCTCCGATTCCAGTTTTGTTAGAATTAAAATTCCTGAAAAAAAAATTAGAAGCTATACTAAAGGTTACACACTCAGATACAATGGCTTCAAGAGCCAACGACACATTCGGGTACACCGTCTTCTTCCTGACAACTAACAACCCGAAGCGGACCCTACCTTTGCGGTTGAAGAGACGTGGACAATACTGCCATTGAAAATCTTCGTCTTCTACGCATCGACATCAAGCTATGACGAAGACGAAGTCGACGCGTTCTGTATGGGCTTGGGGAAGTTCTACAGTGAAGATCGTACATTCTTTAAGGTAATCACTGGAGATTTTAGGGCTAAGAATGGACCCGGAAGAACGTCTGAAGAATGTCACATTTTGACAAACGGATTAGAAAAGACCGAGAAGGGTGAACGGCTGTCTGAGTTTATCATGATGACCAAGGCCTTTCCCTAGCAATTCACAATTTCAGAAACCTTGCTTTCAATTTTGGACATGGAATTTGCCTAGTCGGAAATGCCATAACGGGATTGATCTTATCATAGCAAATCGAAGAGTTTGCCGAACTGATGTCGCTGTTGTCCAACACGGAATCGGTCCATCGCCTTCTTTGCGCAAGATTCCATTTATCGCAGAAAGGCAGGAACACCGATAAATTCGAAAAACGAAGTCCCAAAATCAACATAAACTGGAATTTAGTCAACTCACAAGTCGGCTCATGGAAAGATGCCGGTATTCGTACATCGACGAGGAATACGATTGGTTCGTTCAATAACTTCCAGTTAGTGATATGAAAGCCGAGTTTCAAAGCCACTAAGAGGCGTCTATTTCTAGAAATACTCGATGTGATACAGTAGCACGTAACCGCATGAACTACAAGCAACAGTCATCTCACGTCCGAACTTGCTAAATAATGCAGACAGGCGATAAAAGATTTTAAGGAGAAAAGAGCAGATGCTATGCAGGAAAATACCAAGTTTATTGCATTCTGAGGTCTAGACTGAAGAGTTATAAATTCCAGAAAGAGAACTGAGAAAATCATTCACGATTACTGTTCGGGTCTCTTCACAGCCACGGCCTCCTGCCAAATGAGGAATCTGACATGCTGTTTCGTCAGTGAAGAACCGAATAACACCAGATCCGGATAGGATAAGATTTGAAAATTTGACGAACTCTGTCAATCCTCATGAGCACACTAGCTTGGCTGTTCACACGTTACATGTCAGAATGCAAAGTTCTATTCAAAGCAGAGCCAAGAAGACCGTTTTATAGTTCAAGAAGGGTGACCTCCACTACAAACTTTTCACTCGAGGCATCCTAAACAGGGCTGGCATTGTACAAAGGGCAGACATGTGGGTAAGCAGGGTTTCGAAAAGGATTCAGCACGATGGACTACACCCACACGATAAAACATTCATTGAAGTATCGCAAAAGCACAAAAGACCGCTCTGTTTCACTATTACCGACTTAATGAAAGCTTTCGACTTAGTCGAGATATCATGGAAGCTTTGGATAACCAGAGGATCCTCACTTAGTCTATGAAGATTCTTTGTGAACTATATCAAAATTTGACAACTAAAATATCACCATTCTTCAAAGTTATTAATGTCGACGTGAAGACAGGAGTTCGACATGGTGGTGCTATCTCACCAAAAGTCTTTACCGTCACCCTCGAGAACGTCATGCGAACATTAGAAGGGTACAAATGGAAGAGAAAATTGTTGGTTCGCATTTGCACCATTTTCGCTTTGGTGATGTTTTTATAAAACCAAGAATTAGCTGGAGCGAACAAGTGCTTGCCAAGCTCGACCAACCTTGTGGAAAGATTGGTCTTCGACTAAATTTAACAAAAACTACGTTCGTGAAGAACGGATCGGTTTCGTATTCCCCATTCACGCTTAATGGAATTGAATGCTCCAGTTACATCCATCCAGGCCAAAAAATCAACACGATGAACGACTTAGCTCAAGAGTCGAGCAGGAAGCAAGCGGCTTGGAGAGCTTTTAAGAAAATAGAGGATATGGTAAGGATAATAAAAAGAACAGGAATCGGTGCCCATTTCTATGATCCGCGAATCTTCCTGCCTTAACATATGAGTCAGAAACCTGGTCGCTACGTAAAAGCACCGTTAAAGGTGATCGAATGAACATCTGGGCTATACAATGACTTGTGGTGGTCTATCGATGTATCGAGCCAGTGTTGCTATCCTCCATGCAAATCTAGTACCAATTTATCGACCTCGGAAGGATAGATTGCCTAGTGGGCCAGAGGGGCGGATCGATCCAAATATCAAATAAATAATCACTTTCTTATGACTATGAGTGCGCTCAGCGATTTCAGTTGTCTGTTTATACATTCGTCATCCTTTGTTTTTTCTGTTGTTCCTCAGTGAACAGCACGCCACCGTAAACTGAAGAAGTGCGACTGCTTTTCTACTCACCGTTAAGTTCAACAGTTTGGTCGACCTTTTTGTCTCTTCAGTCTGACGCTGATCAGTTCGGTATCACCAGTTTTCTAAACTCGAAAACTGTTCAATTCTCTAAACGCTGGCAAAACTTTGGGTCTAGAGGTGATAAATTCATTTCCTGTTATTTAACAGCGTTATATATGCAACATATATATATAACAAGATGTGATACAGTCAGTAGTCTAGTGTAGTTAGTGATCTTATCTCAACTACGCCGAGAATTCCATCCATGGCATTCTACTTCCTTAAGTCCCTAAGAAACTAAAAAAGAATCGCGCTGACGATCGTACTAAAGAGGACGTAAATCTCTCTCTCTCTCTCTCTCTCTCTCTCTCACTCACTATAAAAGGTCTTTCAAGGTATACGATCTCTCTACGTCTCTCAAGGAAGGCATCAATGAACCAAAGCGCACAAATCACCGGTCGCATTTGTTCAAAGCATCATTTTCGCAGCGTTTTGTGATGAAATTGGAAAGTGGCTGTCACTGGAACCGCATCGGAGTTTCCTCGCACCGCTTACAAGGATAACTGAATGGTAGCTTCTAAAATTATTCAATCAACACAGACAACATGCAGCTAGAATTCGTTACTTGAACCTGCCACAAATATCCCTCATTCAACATACACATCGAAACCAGGGTATAAATAGCTCATATAGTCATGCAGCATACGCAACTAAACCAAGGTAGAAGTAGTACAGTTATGTGGCACAAGAAGTCGACGACAAAAATAATAGAGTGAACCCAATAGAACCCATTCTAATTAAGGGAAACCATCTATAGGAAGAACAACTCACGAAAATCACCTGTTTTTTTGCTTTTTCATCCGAAGCGTCGAGAACAATAGCATCCTTCAGGTAGCGATGATCTGTTGCGACGGCGTCTTGCAGTGAGAGATAAGCTTCGCAGTTGAGCCAGTGCAACTCCGAATTCAATTCGTATAGGATAAACGCATCCCTTCAACAGTGATAAATTCACATTTCTCAGCACGTTCTTCATTTTTATTCCATTTTTACAAACCAAGTGAAGGAAAGCATTGGCGAGCGATGACCACGTACTAAACCACTCCAGAGTTCCAAATACTGTCGATTTCAGGAACCAGTAAGATTTTTAAAAGGCCATCTTCTTTCAGTTCGACTTCATTTTTCCATACAAACGAACTTCAATGTTTTTGATCTCTGTGTATTCTCACTGTGGAAATTCAATAGTTGTAGTTATCCTTGCTCATTTATGATGCCTGGATCAATTTCTATTGCTTAAGTTATCGAACACGGTAGCAAAAAAACTGATCGCAGTATTCATTATACTTCCTATTGCCATAAAAAACCGACGTCAAGAACTGCTGAAGGTTCCTGTGATAAAGAGCTGACCCAAAAAGGAGAAAGTGGTCTTGAATCGTCGATTTTTAAAAGTAATGGCGGTTCTCATCAATATGAATTAATATCCAACAAGGATTCAACAAAAACGGAGTGCGATTAATAATTTACCCACTCCATTAGCAGAAATAAACATATGAAAGCGACAGTGGCGTCAAGTATCCAGATGGAATTATTCTGAAGATGATTGTCGAGATGCTCAGCGGACACCACGAGCACGGAGTGAACTAGTTCTGCTGCTTCTAAACTGCGAACATCAAAGCGTTTCATAGAAGCCATTGTCTTCACTGTAGCCATATTTAAAAGACTGAGTATTCCGTTATCTTGCAATCTTAATAAAATATACGTCTAACTATTACACCTTTGAGGAGATTAGTGGTAAAACCAATAAGAGAACGGTAAAAGAAATGCTAAAAGCCAACTTAAAAGGATATAACAATACAAGGAGTTTGTAAAAATCGAATACCTCTGTGATACTCCGACAGGACCACATACGTGACAGGAAAAAGTAGGACGAAGAAAAGTGTAGCAACCGTTGAGATCACGCTTAAGATTACCGGGAAAAGAATAGAGCTCGATTCTACCTAAATTTCCTTTTTAATGCAGATGTAATGGGGAGGAAATCTTTATTCCGACCTAAACAATGAACTGGAGACCTGCTGACGTATCTAGTTAGTGTTCTTATACTTTCAGGCCAGACTCGTACCAGTTCCTAGACAGTGGAAGGCTCGCCTTGACCGGAATAAGTTTTCAACCCACTTCACTACACTGGCCAAACCTCAGAATGGGCCGAGTAAACCTGATCGTACAGAACTCCCTTTTTGCTCTTTATTATTTCTTCTTATATAAGACCCGTTTTTCACCTCTATTGTGCGGATCCCAACACTTCTCGTGTTCGATTTGTTTCCTCGCATCCATCATCCATGAAAGTTAACGAACTTTTACATGTGGTTGTTCCCTGAGGATTTTCCTTTCATCATGAATATCGTTGAGTGCTGGTCGGGTCCCTATTCTCCCAGGAGTTCTAAGATAGCCGGGCTAGAGCGTTCCCACTTATATTGTAAAAAGTGAATTTTTCCCAGAAAAGTCCGGTTGCATGACACCAGAGGGATGAGAGGCTTGTTGAGCCCGGAGAGAGATCGAATCAGGACCGTGCTCGTGATGGTCAGCATCACTACCACTGTGCTGCCATACCCTTTTTTATTAGATACTGTCCCAGTATTCTACCATCTGCGATGAACGAATAATTACTAGTTGAATAAAGTAAGTAGGCCTATATCATGCAGTTGACAGAAACGTCTGCTTTGGAAGTCATTTTACGTATCAACGAATGAACTAGTTTTTACATTCGTTAATAATTTTCATGCGTAATCTATAACTTCCGTTATCTACTTAGTAACTCGAGCAGGTGCCAGTGAAGTTTCTATCCGTTTCAGTCAATCACCAAGGTGTGCTTGGTTCTCCCGAAGGACACGAAACGCACCATGCTTTTCGTATGGGATCGCTTACTATATCAATGCAAAGAACATCAGAAAATTGGATTGCCGTTAAAAACAAGTATTTACACAAAATCCGACGCTCAAATTTGCATAGACGCTGCATAGAGTGTTAACATTGGTCGCGGACTTTCTGGTTTTCCGACGCCAGACGACAATTTGTCGATGAATATAAAATACCTATGCTCCAATCCTAATTGTGTGATCTTTCAGTATTCGATCTTTGACGTCGAGAAATAAAGAAGTCTAATTTAACCAGTTATCTCACCTGGAGATCCATTCAGCATATCAAAGAAACAGAAAGGAATGAGGCAACTGATGCAACTGATCTTTTACTATTTTGCACAGAAGATAAAACATATCATAACAGCTTTACCACTCGTTAAAAAATATCTATGATTTCCTTGTTTTATCAGTGCGATGACGCGCCACACATCGAATTACCCTGGGCGTGGAAACCATCGCTGTGAGAAATTTTACCCATTTCTTTATTGGTTCCAGCGTCCACTCATGGCAAACTACTGCTGAGTCACAATGGTGCTGAATTCGTCCGATCTAACTTATTCCAGGATCCCAGAGAAAAGAACTACTCGACTATAACGTGTGAACACACCCATAACGCATGACCAACTTCTACCAATGTGTATAAAGCTCCAAAAAAGCTCTCGGTGTTGATTAATCTCTGAGGGATGTGCCATGCATTCGAATTCATTAAGCATCCTTTGGAGGTGATTCAATGCATATCTGGCCTTTACGATGACTCGCTACCAATTTGCTGAGCCCGGAGGAACGGAAGGCTTAATGGGCTATGGGCGCTAGTATCGATCCCACATGTGTGTCGTAGGGTGCCACAGACCACTGTGCCACACGCGCCTCTACCAATGTGTATAAGAAAGTAAATATTTACGGTTCTAGCACTTTACGACGAAGAGTTCATCTGTTTTCTGTACTTTTATTCCAGAGAACTTACTTATTTCATCATTTTCGCATTACCTGTCTCTTCGAATTAGCTTCCAAGGTGTCTAAACATTCCCGTTCATCCTAACAGGATGTCTGCTAGCGTTCCTTATGGACCATCGATGTGACAGCTCACCTGCAAGAGATTGGTCAAAGCTGTGAAGTTTATTCTTTTCTCTCTTTTCTTTGTCAGACCATACTGATTAAAAAGTTTTAACCAGTTCATTACACTGTGATCCTACGGATAATAGAAATTCATTTATAATATGGATCGGTGAAGATCTGCGTACGTACGCACAACCAACAATCTATGAGAATCAACATCGTCTCTGTCCTTCCCACTGTCCTCTGCTAGGCACCACAACAGTTTCACTTAATTCAGTACAATATAAACTCTTGAAAGCTCTTTAAACCTCAATTTCTTTTTCAGAGAATTTTTTGTCGTTTTGCTAAGCACAGTTTGCCCACGATATCATTTCGCATTGCTGTTGCAGAGATCTGATAATGGCCATAGATTGGTCGCCATGTTCCAGCAGCTCAGACAACTCACATCTACGTTAGACGCACTTAAAATTTTCTTATTCAGAAGTTCCTCCTTGATTTCTTCAAGGTTTTTGATGCTACTTTTATAGTCTCTACTCACTTTCTCCGTCAACTGAATGGATATGAAGGTGAGCATCTAAAAGACTTGATCAAGACGAAGATGAAAGCTTGAAAACTGTCAGAAGAACATCAACCAACATCAAACATTAAAGTAGTGACAACACAACACGGACAGTGGGACTGACAACACAAAAAAGCCATCTAAATAAGAGACGTACCTTGGCTTCTATTCGCCAACAGAAGAAAGTTCGGCAAATACAGAGGGTGTGGATCAGTTAGAATGTGAAGGATCTGCTAGCTGAATGACGATTGCCGCGCGATCCTCGTAAAATGTGAGATAATTCTGTTCTGCTGTCATTACAAGCAGGTCTACTATGCAAATAAATAAGGTCATTGAGGATTCCCATTCTTATCGATTGACACTCGGTTTGTAATATTGAAAATGAACATGGGCCATCAATCTACTAACCTTTTCCCCGATTACTTTGCTTGTTGGGGCAACACTTGCAAGCAAAATGATTGATAACGCAAAAATTATCATAACTGTATGTATTCTTTCTTGATAACCTTGCACGAGGTTGATAAATATATTTATTTTCGGCTGACGTTTCGACGTCTTCGTCTTCCTCAGAGCCGATGATCCGAGTCGATGGTCCATGATTGTTGTTTGTCTCGACGTTGCAGCTTCGCCTTCGTGTCGAGCCAGGTCTTCCTTAGTGAGCCATCATCTCGAATGAGGCATCCTCACTCAGTGATGCCCTTTTAAAAATACAAGTTAAAAAATACAAGTTGCTACCACCGGACATTATCATTATATATCCACCATCAGCATCGTGTATAAAAGGGCGTCACTGAGTGAGGATGCCTCATTCGAGAAGATGGCTCACTAAGGAAGACCTGGCTCGACACGAAGGCGAAGCTGCAACGTCGAGACGAACAACAATCATGGACCATCGACTCGGATCATCGGCTCTGAGGAAGACGAAGACGTCGAAACGTTAGCCGAAAGTAAATATATTTATCAACCTCGTGCAAGCTTATCAAGAAAGAATACACATTGATTAGTCACACCGAGGTTCAGAGAAAGTCGGTTTCGAAATATAACTGTCTCAACGGACAACACTACAACATTCTTAGCGTTTCAGAATATTCCTTATTACGAATTAGTTCATGCAGTAGATTTCATTTAGTTAATGGGTAAAAGATAAAGGGTAGAGCTCTCGGCGTTGATCAATTCCTGAGGGATGCTCCAAGCATTCGACTTAATTAAGGACCGTTTGTAGGTTATTGAATGCATATCTAGCCTTTACAATAACTCGCGGTGGCCTGCTGTTGTATTGAGTCAGGGCTGCTATCCTCGTAGACAAATCTGGTACCAACTTGCCCACCTCGGAGGGATGGAAGGCTTAGTGGGCAGTGGGCGTGGGAATCGATTCAGTGTGTGTGTTGCAAGGCGCTTCAGACCACTACGCCACACGCACCTTTAGTTAAGTTAATGAGTAGCAGCGTATATTAAGCTTAGATAAGACGATTGTGAAGACGAGGTTGTTCCTTGGCGTAGTTTTCGCAATATTCATTGTACTTGTTCATAGCTGAGATCATTCCGTGTTACGCCCTTCAGTAATACTGTGTTTAAGATGCATTAGATCCACAGTACCGTTTCACTTTATACTTAATGTTTGCTCTAGAAAGCGACCAACTTTTTACTTCCGTGTGCGTCAAATCAACGACAATTCTCAGTGACTGATCTGGAAGGCGTCGGTAAGGAATGTGCTCTTCTTCGCTACGTCAAGTCACGATTTCGCTAAAGATGGGAGTTGATCGATGGCACATCATCGTGGAGTTCAAGCGAGACATTCAACGATACCTTGTTCGTAGCTACTGCTGCATCAATGGAGACATTTCAGAGAGCGACAGAATTTATCGATTATTCTGATAAGTTGGTTGCCATTCTCACCGATTCTTCTCAGGATTCTCACTGACACACCTCTATTCTGATAATAAGAAATAATTTAGTCAAATAAATTGTCACATGAATGTTCTAAGCGAGAAATCGCATTAAGGCAAATCCCATGAAATCACCAACGGGAAAATTTCAACGTGGGATTCGCCGTAGTTTTCCGTTTGATTCCTAGAAGGTTGCTTTAGATCTACGGTTTGACATCGACAATTTTCACGCATAGATACTTCATTGTGTGGGAATTTCCTATCCCGTGGCGCAAATACGAATACATACGCCTA